GAGAAGGAGTAGGAGGAGGAAGGGGAGGAGGAGGAGTGAAGAGGGGACACCATAAATACGAACAATTTGGGGGAAGCCTTTAAAGACTTTCAATATTGATGCCGTCGACAACGACGACGACGGCTACGGCGACGGCAGCGACAGCGGCCATTGCAGTGACAACGAGGGCGGCGAGAGCGCATTGAACGGCTCGGTATTTATGTATGTACGTACGTATGCATGCATGCATGCATGTATGCATGTGTACATGGATGGATGCATGCATGCATGCATGCATGTACGTATGTATGTATGTCAGATGCGAATGTATATATGCATGCATGTAGGTGTCTGTCTGTATATATGTACGTATGTATGTATGTATGTATGCATGCATGTATGTATGTATGTATGTATGTATGTATGTATGTATGTATGTATGTATGTATGTATATATGTAGGTATGCTTGCATGTATGGCTGTATGCATGTATGTATGTATGTAGGTATGTATGCGTTTCTGTCTGTACTGTAATGGAGTGTAATGCGATGCAATGTAATGCCATGCGATGTAATGTAATGCGTACACGCATGCATGTATGCATGCACGTATGCATGTCTGTATGTTTGTATCTACCTATGTATGTATGTATGTCTGTATGCATTTATGTATCTATGCATGTTTGTTTGTTTGTTTGCATGTTTGCATGCATGTATGTATGTATGCACGCATGCATGCATGTATGTATGTATGTAAGCATGCATGCATGCATGCATGCATGGATATATGCGTGCATGTATGTATGTATGTATGTATGTATGTATGTATGTATGTATGTATGTATGTATGTATGTATGTATGTATGTATGTAAGTGTGCATGTATGTATGTATGTATGTATGTATGTATGTATGTATGTATGTATGTATGTATGTATGTATGCATGCATGCATGCATGCATGCATGCATGCATGCATGCATGCATGCATGCATGTATGTATGTATGTATGTATATATGTATATATGTATATATGTATGTATGTATGTATGTATGCATGTATGTATGTCTGTCTGTATGTATGTATGTATGTATGTATGTATGTATGTATGTATGTATGTATGTACGTACGTACGTACGTATGTATGTATGTATGTATGTATGTATGTATGTATGTATGTATTTATATATGCATACATTCCATTTATCGATGTAATGTGTAGGCCGCTCTAAGGCCCAACGTGGGCCCGGTCAGGATCGGGCCAGGCGGACAAGTGCGGAATCGGGGTTCTTCCGAGATGGCACGCCAGCGGTATGAAGCAAACAGCAGTCGTGTAGACAAAGTAATCACCCGAGAAGGTGCTCGAGGGGTGCCTGCAGCGAGACCCCGCGCGGAGGCCCTCGCTGCCCGAGCTGCTGGAGCACCCCTTCCTGCGGACCTCCCTGACGGTGCCGCGCGGCGCCGTGCGCAGCTCCGTGGAGGCGCTCATGGCCGGGGTCCTCCAGGCGGCGGGCGCCGCGCTGAAGGCGGCGGACGTTCCCCTCCAGGACTCAGCACAGTCGAAGCCCATCGGCGCGAGCGACATGGGTACGGAAAGAACGGGTACAAGGCCCAACAGCAGTTCTTGTTCCTTTTGAACAGGGCTCGCTGTCCACGCCGCCGCGGTCCGTGTCAATTCGAGACAGGAGGCCGCCTGCCCAACAGCGGCCGCTGTTGGTTTGGCCAGCGTTGATGGTTGGGCATTGTACCAATTTTTCTCCGTACCCATTTTGGGCGTCCAAAACCCAGTCATGCTCGCGTCGTTCAGCCACGCGCAATGGGGTAGGGTCGGGGGGAGGGGGAAAGGCTTCGCAAAGGCACCCCTGCTTCTCAGAAGGCGCGGGCCCTATCCATAGATGTAGGGCCGGCGCCTTCTAAGAGACAGCCTCCTTCTAAGATGCCTTTCCCCCTTCCTCCTACCCCCTGTGCGCGCCGCTAAATCGAAACCCAGGTATGCTCGAGTCGCGAAACAAAAACGCGACGGGAGGTTGTTCGTAGTTTTTGGCCTCCGGGGGGGGCGTTCGGGGCCCCGGGAAGATCAAACAACGACTCAGGATGAAAAGCCGGTGTTGGGGAAAGGGTTGGGGCTTCTGGGGACCGCGTGTTGAACAAATCGTTTCACCGATCCCCATCCTCACTGAACAATCCCAGAGATCCGAGGCTCCGAAGAGATCGGAGCGGCCAGTTTTTGGCAATTTTCGGCCTCTGGGGGCCTTCAACGGGCCCGGGGACTGAACAGAACCGACCCTGGATGAAAAATCGGCCACAGGGAAGTCCCCCCCCTCCAGTTAACCGATCCCCATCCCCACTGGGCAGCCCACCCCCCCAAGGGTGGAGATGGACCCCGCGTAGCCCGAAGGGAACGGCATATATCCTTATCCAGGTGGGGGTAAATCGGTCAGTGGGGCCGATGCCGTGTCAGTGGGGAAGGGTATAGTTTAAACGATGCTCGAGGACGAGGACTGGCAGCTGCTGGCAGACGAGGTGGGCATTGCAAGAGAAACCGGGGTCGAATGCGTCGACATCTTCGCGCGCAGAAGAAGATGTCGCGAGTGAACGCCCTCTTCTCCTGGGGGCAGGCGCATGACCATGATGCCGCTTGTGCTTGCAACCGCCATCGCTAACCAGCACAGAGTGCTGGACATTTTTCGAGATCTGTTTTGCGACCGTGAGGCGTTCAGCGAATTGAGCCCGCAGAGCGGGAGCTACGGGAGCCCCCTCTTCGGGATATTAGACCGCAAATCTCGCGACCATGGATGAGAAGGAGGAGGAGGAGGACGAGGAAGAGGAGGAGGAGGAGGAGGAGGCGGAGAAGGCGGAGGCGGAGGGGAGGCGGAGGCGGGGGGGCGGAGGCGGAGGAGGCGGAGGAGGGAGGCGGAGAGGAGGAGGAGGAGGAGGAGGAGGAGGAGGAGAGGGGGCAGGAGGAGCAGGAGGAGGAGGGGTGCGGAGGAGGAGGAGGGGATGCGGAGGAGGAGGGGGAGGAGGAGGAGAGAGGAGGGGGCGAGGGAGGTGGAGGAGAGGAGGAGAGAGGAGGAGGAGGAGGAGGAGGAGGGAGGAGAGAGAGAGGAGGAGGAGGAGGAGGGAGGTAATGGCATATTGGCTTATATGTGGGTCTCTCCTGGTCCGCGTGCAGCCTCTTGGGGGCCTGTAGACCCAGATGAGGGGGGACGGGGTGAACCCCTTCCAGAACAGGGGAAGAACGGGGACTGGAACGGGGATCAGCGAATCCCTTCTACCACGTGCGCTTCGAGGGCTGGTGCGATTGTGGGCACGACGTCCTGGGCGAGGTCCTGCACTACCTTAAGAGCGTATGTGCGATCCAGGGTCACCCGTGCTAAGATGGGTTCGCCCTCCCCTCCCCTCCCCTCCCATCCCCCCATGACCGATGGGTCCCTCATCCTGTGGACGTGCGTAGGTGCTGCGGCGCATCTCCCCCTTGCTCCCTGTTCGGGTGGTGTGGTGCTGTGGTGCAGAGGTCTGGAGGGCGAGGAGGGGGAAGAGGGGGAGGAGGAGAAGGAGGCGAAGGAGGAGGAGGAGGCGGAGGAGGCGGAGGCGGAGGCGGAGGCGGAGGCGGAGGCGGAGGACGGAGGCGGAGGAGGAGGAGGAGGAGGACGATGATGATGATGATGATGATGATGATGATGGTGGTGATGATGATGATGATGATGATGATGATGATGATGATGCGATGATGATGATGATGATGATGATGATGATGATGGATGATGATGATGAGGATGAGGATGAGGATGAGGATGAGGATGAGGATGAGGATGATGATGATGATGATGATGATGATGATGATGATGATGATGATGATGATGATGATGATGATGATGATGATGAGGAGGAGGAGGAGGAGGAGGAGGAGGAGGAGGAGGAGGAGGGAGTGGCATATTGGCGCACATGGGGGATATCTAGAGAATCGTCATTGCTGATCTATGGAAGCCGTTCCAGGCGCTCTCGCGTCGACGCTGGCTACATTTTCTTTGAACTCGGCGCTCCCGCTCGAGTGGGGTCTTCACTGCAAATGTGTGCCGTTGAAGGCCCGGCTACGGCAACAACGGCTCCCCCTCGATCCTCCCTCGTAATTTGCTCCAAGACGCTCTGGCCAGAGAGGCCCCCCAACTCTGGAACGGCGCTCTCGTTCGAGACTTCCTCGCAAGTTGCTCAAGTTGGTGAAGGCCCAGCTGCGGTGACTGGGGTTCTCGCTTGATGCTGTCTTGCAGTTCATGAGAACGAGCGCCCCCTGATAGGGGCAGACACCGCCGCTCCACCTTGTTGGAGCCTAGAGTTTGTGGAACCCAGAGTTTGTGGGAGGGGCGTTCGAAGACTGCGCGTCTGAGAAGATGCGACACACAGCCCAAGAGGACCGCAAGAGCCCCCGAAAACAATCTAGAAAGGCGTCGGAAGTGTTGTAACTGGGAAAGAAACTGAATAGGAATACGGAGGTGCTGAACTGAGCAACGCGAGTTAGGTTTGGGCCTCAGAAGGACCACCGGAGACCCCGTGGGGGCGCCCAAGGCGGGCCACGGGGATGCCAAAAAGGCGGCCAGACGAGCCGAACTGGCTCTAGAGGCCTGTGAGAACGGCCGAAGATGGCTGGAAGATCTTCTGAAGCGGCCCGCGAGGCCCCAGGCGTGTCAGAAGAGGCTCCAGGAGAGCTCCAAGATTCCCTCACAATTTATTCAGCCGCCTCGCTCATGCCGCCGGCTCATGGTGGATGTAGTGTCTAGTGGTCTTCGGCCAAATTGGGTCGTTGACCCAGGGCCTTGTCGGGAGGCTCGCTTGCGTCTCTTGGGAGGCTCTTGGGGGCCTCCTGGCGGCATTCTCGGGGTGCTTTGGGGGTCTCTTGGGGGCCCCTTGTGGGCTTTGCGGCGGTCTCGGGGGCAATTCTTCGGGAGAAAGGGCTCCACAGGGCCGTTCTCTTAGGCCATGCTGGGGCTTTCTTGGGCCATCATGGGGCCTTTCTGGGAGCCTCTTCTGCTGTCTTGTGGTGATATCGCTTGGCCTCCTTTGCCGTTTTGGGGGTGAACCCGACAGACAGCACCCGCTTGGCCGACCTCCTCCTGCCGCAGACGGGTCCTCACAGCCCATCAGCAGTTGGCACCTCCATCCCCCAGAACCGAACCGAACCGAAGAGGGCCACCTCGGCGTATATGCGGCGCGCAGGGGATACGAAGGAAAGTGTGACAGTTACCCAGCCGCGGAGCCCATCCTGGGCAACCTCCTCTAGGCATGTTCGCCTTCTGCCGCGACGAGGGACGCACGAGCGGCGTGCTGACACGGGACCGGGTGTGCGGCCTTCCAGCCTACCCAGTGTGGGTTCGTGCCTTCAGGGGGAAGGCCTGGAATGCACAGTGGTACTGCGCAGATTGCCTCGTCCATATTTGGGACGCTCGGCCTTCTGATGTGCGTGCGATCCTGGCTAGGGAGGGAGTTATGGGTTACCCTGGACAGCCGCAGCCGCGCGACAAGGCCGCAACTTATGCTGGACTAGGCGCCAACCCTTGAACGCAAAAGCAGCAGCTCCCGCCGCCGGGAGCATACAGGACCTGGGCGACGACCTAGACTAGCGCATGGCCCGACAGGCAGCCAAGATCGCTGACGACCCGCTTGGAGCCTCTGCAGACCCCAGCGACTTCCCAGACATTTATGAGCCTCCTAGACATGGCGAGTGTGAAGCAGCGATCGGCCCCCCTCACCGACCGGGAACAGAGACCGAAGGCTGCGCTAGAGGCAGCGTGGAAGGAGGGGCACCATGCGTCTTTACCCCGACGTGACGGTACCCCACGGTCGTCCAAATGCAGACGCAGGGCTGTTTCGACCCCCGTAACCCAGGCGCCCCCCCCCCTGATCGGGTACGGCGGAGCAGGTCGGCGGAGCCATCTGTCCACCAACACCCGCCTCCGCCTCAGCCTGCAGGCCCCTGGAAGCCGCCGCCCTTCCCGCCAGGCGACAGCTCCATGGCGTGGGCGCCTGCGCTCCCAGCCCGGTGCTCCAATAACCGCTCCTGGAGATCCCGTCGCGGGTCCCCCTAGAACTTTTGGCAGAGCCGCTGGTCCACCTGGTGGGCTACGTGAGGTGCGACTGCGGCCCGGCCATCAACCAGCATTGGGTCAGCTTGTGAACCGATACTTGGAAGGCCGCAACATGGCCCCGTCGACGTTCGCGGAAGTCTTCCTGCGGTAATTTCGCATGTCGTTGTGGGAGGACGGTGCGGTCCTAGATGCTGGCCACCTGGACCGTGGCGTGTGGAGTTGGGCAGGGACCTGCCAGCAGCTGGTGCTGGCCAATTTGGTGTCCTGAGCGATTGGGCCAGAGGGGGGGTAGCGCGCGGGAGTCGCCAAGGTCCCCATGTGGATGGGCGAGGAGCCCTTCAGGGACTTCGTGCTGGAACTCTGAGCCCGCCCTTTCCAACGATGTCCTCTTCTGCAGGCTGGCGCCACCGCCCCTCCAGAACGAGCCGCGTTTTGACCTGGCCCCGTCACCTCCAGATTCTGCCTCTGTGCTGCGAGACCTGGGCCCCTTCCCCCCGCCCGGATGCCAGGCGCTGTCGAACCGTGCAGTCGACTCCGTGGCCCCGGCCAGTCGGATTGATTGGCCTATCTCCCGCGTGGTGGTGGACCTCGCCAGGTGGGTGCATCCTTGCTCGCCCGCGCCAAGGGCAGGAAAAGCGAAGGCGGCAGATCCTATGATCTGAGGGCGGCGTGGGGGTCATCCCTGAGATCCCGAGTGGCACTGTGCGGCGCCGACCCGCCCAGGTGCGGCGGGGATGTCCTGGCATCCTTCCTGGCAAGCCAAGGCATTCGCAGCGCGAGCGCCCCCTTGCTCGCCTACTACTGCGGACCCACCGCAGCCAGCGAAGCCGCAGAGGCCCCACAGGCGGCAGCCTCGGGTCAGCCACGGGATCAAGCGACGGGCGACGCCGCCGAGGACCGCTGTCTTTCGCTCCCTGGAGGGTCAGACGCCAGCCCCCCGATGGAACCGACGCGGCGCATAAGGACTGTCCGCGTGGACGAGCCCGCCGACGGGGAGACAGGTGGCGCTGCTCCATGACCAGCCAGGGGCGAGGCCATTCCCTCCCCTGTCGATCAGGCAGCCGCATGCTGGCGCAGTGCCAGCCTCGACTGGAGCGTTGGTGACGGAGGCTGCGATGGGGGGGGGCGACCGCCACCGCTCAGCTCCCGTGGCCTGGAAGGTAGCCCGGACCGGCCGGTGGGCCTGACACCCGGGCGGGCCGCTACGTAATGGCCAGTGGCGGCGACGGCGCTTGCCCCGCGTGCTGGCGCGCACCGGCCGACGAGACAGGAAGGCGACTCTGGCCCGATTTCCCGCCCAGCACGGTGGAAGGGGCCAGTGGAGGAGGTCAGGGCGGGGCAGCGCCCCTGCGCGCCTGGATTGGGGCCGAGTGGGTCGCTGTGAGGTGCGGGGCGGGCTGCGCGCGCTTGGCCTGGGTCAGCAGGGGGCGCCGCGGCGCCAGC